GACTGTAGACATTTTTCTCAAATACTAGCAGATATAAATATCATGAACACGATAGAAGCCAAAACTAGGGAGATGTGCTATAAACTTTATATAAAACGATTAAAGTTGCTTGAGGCAATGGACGGTTGACGGTCTGAATTATTAAGCAATTTTCAGTCCATATAATCTGAATTTTTTTATTTATGAATGATAGTTGTATTTTATGTGTAAATAGAAAAGTTTTACTGTGTATAATACCTGTTGGACATTAACTTTTAAAAACATATGTAAAAATAACCAATACTTAGATTTTATCCTTGGTGTTCCTTACAAAGGAAGCTTATACTGAGAGAAGCAGAAGTTGTGTGCGTGTCCTATTCCAAATCTTATCAACGAAAAATAATAAATTTAGGAAATTCGGTGATAAATCTTATATTGCTGCTCACAAGGAAGCTATTAAACCAAGAGTTCCAAATGGTGAAGTTGAAATCATCCCTTCGTAAATTTTACGGACGCCATCACGAGTTGGTTGACCGTTGTGGAATAACCGTTTCACAGATGATATCGGATATGTTCCTTATGTCGTAACTACAATACCCTTCCCTTTTCACGAATGTGACCTACCCAATAAGACTATTTACCGGATTTGTAATAACATAAGCAACACGACGGGTGCCACATGTGGAGCAGGATCTGCTTACCCTTCCAGAGCACCTGAGATCGCCCCATTTTTTGGTGGGGTTCGTGTTGCCTAGTCTTTAGTTTTCTATGTTGTGTCATCTGTACTATTATTTGTCTGTTTGTCTTTTTATTTTTGGCCATGGCGTTGTCAGTTTGTTTTCGATCTATGAGTTTGACTGTCCCTCTGGTATCTTTCGTCCCTCTTTTATATCTTGATGGGTTAGTGTATAAGTAGAAATCAACTGGTTAAGCTAACTAGTTTAATTAAATATGAAATAGTCATTTACAACAACAACAATTTTTATGTGTCAACAAGAGACGTGTATTTTTGCGCCTGTCCCAAGTCAGGAGCCACTGGCCTTTGTTAGTCTTGTATGCTTTTTTTTTAAATTTTAGTTCATTTATATGTTTCGGAGTTTAGTGTGACGTCAATTTTCACTGAACTAGTACACATTTTTGTTTAAGGGGCTAGCTGAAGCCTCCCTCCTGGTGCGGGATTTTCTCGCGGTGTTGAAGACCCATTGGTGGCCTTAGGCTGTTTTCTGCTCTTTCTTCTTTCTTCTTAAAGTTTCTAGCGATCCTTCATTTATTGAAGATTATTCGCCGGGTGTCGACTATAAAATTTGTTTCATAATTTACAAGGTACCAGGAAAAAAAAGAAACAAAATCAAAAATCAAAAAAATATATGTACATTTGAAAAATAACATTTAGATAAAACTATATAAATTTGATAATACTATTAGTTAAGGGTAGGGATGAGAGTAGATTCTGAGATCATACTCTTGAATCCCAGTACTGTACATGTGTACTGTACATGTGTACTGCATGAAACTATTTATTGGGGCAAATGATTCCAATCTATAATTTTACGCGGATAAAATGAATATTTATAACTGTCTTTAGATGTTTGTATTTGCATAAATGAATGTGGATTGCTATGTCTGGTTCTATTGTCTAGTGGGATCAAAAGGTTAAATGTAGGGACTGCAACACTTTCGTGTATAATTTTGTAGAAGAAAACAAGTCTATCTTAAACGCCTAATTTCAAGTAGATACCAATTTAAGTCTGTCATCATGTCAGTAACTGAACTGGTGCATGTGAAGCGGGCAGCTCTTCTCTGAACTTTTTCAATTTGTGAATTTGTGAAATTTGCTGTTTTTGATATGGATCCCAAATGGTTGAGCAGTACTCTAATATTTGGTCGAACAGGAGCTTTAAATGCATGAGCTTTAACTTTAGGTTTCTGCGAATAAATCTATGCAAGAGACTGGTTTGCTTTTGATGTCATGTTATCAATATGTTTATCCCATTTTAGTTTGATTGAATAGTAATTAAGGCCTAAATATTTTGAAGAGTCAACTTTTTCGAAAGAGTGATTATGTAGTTTGAAAGTGAAGTCTAAAGGTTTTCGTTTTTGTGTTACACTGAGAATGTTGCATTTATCAGGGTGAAAATGCATGAGCCAGTCCGGCCCCCATCTGCCGGCCGCTTCCAAATCAGACTAATTAATATGTATCATCTGGTTTCTTAATTTCCCTATACATTATGATGGTCGGGTTGTTGTCTCTTTGACACATTCCCCATTTCCATTCTCAATTTTATATATGCGTCTTTGTCTCAATCAAGACGCCCCGAGGAGCAGAACAATTACAGTTTGAATTAAAGGCTAAAGCGTACAAATAATAGTGATGTAAATGTTTTTATTTATTGAAAAATTACAATAAACTTAAAACTATATATAGGAAAAGGGAGACAACCAACCAGTCTGAGAGACATATATATACACATACACAGTGTATTCCCAAAAATAATGAGTGAGTGAACACAATCAGTACCGTTGTATTATAGAAGGAAGAGCTGGCGGGCCACTCATGTCTTATTATACTTAATTTTGCTCTTCTAGTCTTTATTAACCCAGAGACATGTGTATAAATATGTCTCTGATTAACCCAAGGATTTGTATACTAACTATAAATCCTTGATTAACCTATCTATCCATTTTATCATTATATTTTTAACTATTGGATCATCATTTGACATCAACCATGGTAAATAATCATTTAAAGAATTAGAATTAGTAAAGGAGTAGGTCCGGTATAAGGGCCGATTTTGGCCTCAAAATTCAAGTTCATCTGATGAAAGATTTTGGACAGTTTTAAAACACTTAAGTGTCTACTTCAGTCGATTCAATCAGTGTATGTGAAAGATTTGAACTGAATTCGTCTAAAAATCAGTAACCAAAATGCAAAAATTTCGATAATTTAGCATGACCTAATGATGCTAGTACCCGATACATGTGCATTGCATTGTCAAAAACAGCCCATATTTATGTAACAGAATTATTCTTCTTTCCAATAAATCACTAAAAATTTACATTTTAACAATTTTGTAAGACTGCTGTATTTTGGGGCCAAAAAGGGGTCTTAATTACTGGGCCTACTCCTTTAGAAGATAAAACTTAATTGAAACTGGACCTTTCAGTTCTAAGTGGTGGACATTGAAGAAGAAAATGAATTTCATCTTCCACTATGTCATTTTCACATAATTTACAAAATCTTTTGTCTGGGGGTATTCCTTTGTGTCTTCCCTTATCTATTCCAAGTTCATCGGCACTGATTCTGAATTTGGTTAACTCATTTATTGTTTTACAATTTTTTAACAGTAAATACAAGAGCTCTTATTTTTAATAAGAGAACAGAGAAAAAAAGATGCGATAACGTAACTTGGTAACTATGTGTCAACTACTTCAAGGGAGGATTCGGGATTGGGTGCAATCCTTGTAACTTTGCAGAGCGGAGCGAGCAGAAAAACATGCCGTGCTTTTTATGCCAAAAAACATATGTTTTCCCGAATTGAACTTGATCTGCACTTGTTACGATTCAGCATACTTACTAGCAATGATGAATTATTTATTTGATTATAACTGGAACATAATATACCAATAATGTCTTTGTATTCCATGAATCAAACTAGAGACATATACTTTATATTATTATCTTGCTTATAACTGTAAACGCCTACAGAAATTAACTTCATACTAAAATTTCCAAGACTTCAAGTATCTCTTGAAATGTCAGTCTTGAACTCCGATGGATAAAAATGAATTATAGTATTACACTTAAACTTAGAATTCCTTACACGTGTGTATACACGACCGGAGCTTATTCAACTAAGAGGGCCATGACAGCGGGCGTGCTTCCTGTAAAATCGGGGAAAATAAGTTTTTGGCTGGTTTTTTTATTGTGTGGCAGAAATAAAATAAACAAATTTAGCGCCCCGTCTCCTTTAACATCAAATCGTGAAATCCGCGCCACTCATGTCGATGTTTCCGCCACTGCATGTCGATGTTTAAATTCCTTTGAACGATCATTGCAAACTTACAGGGATATAAAAAGAGACTTGAAGTCTAGTGCAGTCATTTTATTGTCCGACTTGACTATATATTATACTGTCGTTTTCAAATTACCTGGCAGTGCATTACTTCCACAGGACATATCTTCAATTATTAAGTCCCCGTAAATCGGCAGTGCTCGATAATTACTATTGTCTTTGTGTTGGGGAAAATTCACATTTTGTATAGAATTTTAAAATTTGTATTAAAACCTATTCCAAATTGAACCCAGATGCCCCCCCCCCCCCCCCCCCCCCAAAAAAAAAGCTGGTGAACAAATATACTTTTGGGTTTTCAATGCAGATGTGTATCTAGGGATAGTTTAAACATTTTTTATTTTTCTAAATCTAAGCAAAATGGATGAGACACAAGTAAATTATACTTTTGTATATATATCTGGTTCTGTCCTGGCCTTATATAACAGTTATTGTAAAACTGTGTTGTTTTCTTTTATGTTTCTCCATTTATTTCTAATGATATGTATTTGTATGTAATGTGATAAAAGCTCTTTATAGGGCCCTTTAATTGGAAATAAAATATTCTTATTCTTATAACTGTGTGACATACATGTCTTTCAAAAATCTTAGATGTGGTATTTAGAATTGAAATTGGACAATAATTGGAGCAAGGACGTAAGTTAGTTATACGTCCTTGATTGGAGGGAACATCTGTTGGTCCTCCTTTATGTATAGCAGTTAATTAATCTAGCATGTTTTATTTTTTCCGAAAAAAGATTAGATGTTATAGTTTGGTTTATTACAAAAGTTAGTGATTGCGATATCATCTCTGCACTAAGCTTTACAAACTTGGGACCAATTCCATCTAAATCTGTTTTTTTTTTTTTTTTTTTTTATGTTTATTTTCGTTTTGTTTCGTTTCATTCGTTGACTTTGGATTCAATTCTCATTTTAGCACAACCAGTCTTGATCAGATATCGCTATATTATTTGAAACAGACTATAGATCGATTTGTTGACATTGGTATTTTGAAAAAACGTGGAAGGTAGTTTTCCAGCGGTCATTTCTAACTCAGAGAAAGTCGTGTGCTTTCAAATTGATATATTTTGGTAAGTAATCTGGTAATTTTTTATAATTACACAAGATCTCTTTTTCTAAGGTATTTTTTTCAGACGTTAGTGAATTTTAATGTAAATTTATCAAAGGCCGTTTTATATAATTTTGTAGTCATTTATTAAATTACATGTATTTTTTGTAAATTCTCATATGAAAGCCACTGTCACCTTCTTTTTTACTTTACAATTGTCAGTTTTATTATCTGTACTTAATCATACCTTACATGCCTTAACCAGTTCTTGTAAATGTGTTTGTCTATTCACTAGTCTATGAGGGTAGGAAATCAGGCCCTTTACCATGTTTACCGTCAGGCGTCAAACGGTAATTTTCGGCTACCCACCGTTAGCGTCAAATTGGTTAAAATTTTACTGTGATTGACGTCAAAATATGCTTATCGTAAATCGTCAAAGGTCTCAAATAATTATCGTTGCCGTTTTTTTTGTAAACGTGATTCGTCAAAATCAGTAGATTTTTTTATCGTCTAAAAGAAAGTGTACATTTTATCGAAATGAACCAAAAATTACTGTAAACGTCATTTGGCAAGAATATTACCGTTATTTGTGATGAAGGTACCCCCATTACGACCCTCGTCTATTGACTGTCTGTAAAATGATAACCATATTATATAGGACATGACATAAATACTTTGTTGTATATAAAATTCTAAATTAAAATTCAATAAAAAAAATAGTTTATTTTTTAAATGATTTTTGTCCTTGACGAAACCTAGACCATTCCCAGGTCCTGGCATAGCTACCTGCCAGGTGAAAACCCCAAATACGACAAATACCAACAGACAAGATATTTTATTTATACAAGTTTTGAAAGGGAGCCTTTTTAGTATTAAAACAAAGAATTTTCATGAGATTTAATACAAAAAATACTGAAAATCACCCCAAATAGTCAAAATTTTGCAGTTTAAGCCAGTAATATCCAGTTTGACTATATTCCCAATGTATCCTTTTGATGATGGATGATCATTTTTTCATGATGTTCTCAGGAATAATTCATAAAAAAATAAGCTATGCACAAAGTTTGTCATCAAATTTAAAAGAAAAAAATCAAAAGTTCGAGAATAAATCATTTTATTTTGTAGACCAAAAAAAAAAAATATTTGAAAAACAAATTTCTGCATTTTTAGCTCACCTGTCCAAAAGTCCAAGTGAGCTTTTCTCATCACTTGGCTTCCGTCGTCCGTCTTCGTCGTTAACTTTTACAAAAATCTTCTCTGATACCACTGAGCCAAATTTAACCAAACTTAGCCACAATCATCATTAGGGTATCTAGTTTAAAAAATATGTCTGATGACCCTGCCTGCCAACCAAGATGGCTGACATGGCTAATTTTAGCCTAAACATATAACATAAGGGGTGAAATGCAAGTTTTGTCTATTATTTTGAAAACCATTATAAATAGAGAAAATCTGACAAGGCCAAAAAGGTTCAGAATATTGAGCTTTACTTATTGTTCATTGATGTCAAAACTGTTAGGCGACTTTTAATAGGAGTTATTGTCCTTGAATGACAAATTTTACCATTTATTTTTCATTTTTGCCTATTATCTTGAAAACTTTAACATGTTTAATAGATAGAAAGAAAATTTAATTTAAGTTGCAAAAATTATCAGTAAGACCAGATCTAGGAATAAGTTTGCTGTGGTCAAAAATATCAGTTGACTCCTTATTAGAGTTATTGCCTTTTGTTGACGATTTTTATCAATTTTTTTGCGTTTTTGCCTAATATCTTAAAAACTAAAATAGATAGATAGAAATAATCAAAAATGATCAGAAAGAAAAGATCTACATTTAAGTCGATATGCGGAAATTTGCTGACGACTCCTTATTGGAGTTATTGCCCTTTAATGACGATTTTTACCAATTTTTTTGCATTTTGTCTTATATGATAAAAATTATAATAGATAAACAGAAACTCTAAATAACAAAAAATGATCAGCAAGGCATTGAAGATCCACAAACAAGTCAAATTTTGCCGATATAGTTAGTAGACTGTCACTCTTCAAAGGAGTTACTGCCCTTAAATGAAGATTTTTTTTACACTCTTTTGTGTTTTTAGGAACAACTAAAAGAATAAAGAGAAACTAAACAAACAAAATGATCAGCAATACAAATTAAACAAAAAAGAGATTTTTGTCATGAATTCTATTCTTGTTTACAATGTTGGAGAGAGTCCATTGTTAAATATGCACATAGAACTAGGTGAGCGTCACAGTCTCTTTAGAGCCTCTTGTTTAAGGTTAACATGATGAAATTTTAAATACTTAATTATAAAATTGTCTGAATGTATCACTTTATAGACATCTCTGGACAGTGTGTAAAAGTCCGTCAACTTTGTTCAAATTTAAAACCAAGTTATCTATTTGTGGAGTTATATATGTATTTTTATTACTTTGCACATCTAGAAATGACAATATTTGTAAATTCTTAAAAGTTAGACAAAAGAAGTTTGGCAACAAAGTTGTTCAGAATTTGATGCAAAGAGGACACTTGTTTTCAAATGAAAAATTTGTTGTTAAATTACTTTTTTCTGGCCCAAAATTTTTTAGGTACAAAATAACAGGCAATTCACATGATCATGATGATGGTGATACAAACAAAAACTGAGTTTTACCATGTTTACTGTGGGTATTGTTTTGTCTTTGTTTATTCTACATTGACTAGAGGTATAGGGGGAGGGTTGAGATCTCACTAAACATGTTTAACCCTGCCACATTTTTGCACCTGTCCCAAGTCAGGAGCCTCTGGCCTTTGTTAGTCTTGTATGCTTTTTAATTTTAGTTCATTTATATGTTTTTGAGTTTAGTATGATGTCCATTTTCACTGAACTAGTACACTTTTTTGTTTAGGGGCCAGTTGAAGCCTGCCTCCGGGGGTGGGATTTTCTTGCTGTGTTGAAGACCCATTGGTGGCCTTCGGCTGTTTTCTGCGCTTTGGTTAGGCTGTTGTCTCTTTGACTCATTCCCCATTTCCATTCTCTAAATGTGGCAGAAATTTATCAGTAACCTGCAGTTGCCTTCCGGCTCATAATAACAAAAGAGTCAATCCATCAGATGCCTGAAGCAGATAATAAATCATGACTAGACTATTAAGCATGTTAAGAATGTGCATTTTCTGCAGATATTCTTCAATATAACATGTATAAAATAAGGAGACTGGGATTATAAATGTTTGCCAATAAGATAATTACCCAAAAGAGTCCAAAAGACATGAAATTAAGCAATTAAAAGTCACTGTTAGTCCATCAGCATTATAGTTATAAATTTGATATTGCAATAAAGTTTCATACAAAACTGTACTTTGAAATATATGTATCCTAGTTGATCATTTTCTCACTTGAGATACAATGTATTATTCATTTCATTGCTATCTTAAACCTTTATCATGTTTATAGCATACAAAAATAGTTTTATTACTACTTTGGTTGCTATATAATGATGACAATTTCTGTAGTGGAATTTTCCACTGGATGTTAAATATTGTAAGGATGATAGATTTTGTATCATTAGTATTCAAGGTTATTAACCTACTTAATCGAAAAGCATACTTTTGGATATGTATACATCGTTTGATGTTTGATCCAATTAAAAGTCGAAATGAAAAGTGACAATTTCAGTTTCGTTTTATTGATTTTGAATGAAATATGTTTTCCTATTACATGTATCATGATTATTAATTGATGAAGCGATTGCAAGATAAATGTTTTAATAATTTATCTTTGAGTATATTTATAAGATATTTAAGATATTTTTATTTCCAATTATGGGCCCCAAAGGGCATAAACATTACAACATCAATAATTTTTCATAATACAATACAAACAATGAGATAAAAAAAAAAAAAAAGTTAAACGAGAACTATTTAAGTTCTTAAAGAATACGTAGATAAAGAATCTATAGCATGTTTTTTTTTTTTAATACTAATGCATTTTATTGCAAGTGTGGTTGATATAGATAACAAACAAGCAGCCCAAAAAGAAAAAAAAGAAAAATAGATATCCACATATGTATAGTACACAAAAAGTTGGATCAATTAAATATATAATAATTAGCCAAAAAGAAAGTAGAAATTAAGCATGTCCATGACTCATCCTGTGTCAGCAGCAAATAGGAAAGCATTATGGTTTCCTAAAGGCAGCTGACACCAGGGGGCGATACCTTATGGGCCATAGGCATGTAAAATGTGTGTAAATGTCTCTTTCCTACCTGTATCAAAAGCAAACAAGGAAGCATCATAGGTAACTTGAATGCAGTTGATACCAGGGGACGATGCCTCAAGGATATAAGAGAACATTTGAATAAATAATATATCTTAACAAACATTTTTTTTTTTTTTAATCGGCTAGTATGTTTGTGATATTCAGATGAATATAATTTTCTATGTCCAATCAAATGTATATACACACATAGATTTCCTTTAACTAATCTTCACTAAGGAAGATGTTTGTATATAAAATTACATATTATTTTAAGTAACTCAACATTTTCTACACTAAATAACCAGATAATTTTGCTTTGACTGCTCATATGATTAAAATAAGAATTATATTTTGCAATACTAGCTAACATACAATTTCTATCATCCTCAAATTTGTTACAATCAAATAGAAAATGAGCCTCATCTTCGACAGTGTTGGAAGAACATTTATTACATATTCTGTTAATTCGTGGAATACCCTGATATCTACCTAATTCTATTTGTAATCTTTGAGAAGATACACGTAATTTAGTAAAACTTCTTCTAAGTTCAAAATTCTTGATCAATGTTAGATATTTTTCAAAACCAAAATTTGTTTTATATAAAAGGTAGGTTTTCAGTTTACTGTCTGAAAATTTATCTATTTGTTTTTTCCAACAGCTAATAAACAATATTGATAGCTTGGTTTGTATATATTTCTTAAATTTGTATAAGGATTCACAAAATGGAGCATTTATGGCATTTGTATAGTCAATACCAAGTATTTTAAAAACAACATTTATT